AATTTAAACTGCGACACAAATTTAAAAAAATTAAAAAAAAAAAAAAAAAAAAAGAAAAGTTCTATAAATAGTTTATTTATAAAGCGATAACATTAGGAAGCTATTTTGAAAACATGATTTCACAGCCGTGAGCGGTGTGAGGAGGATTCTACCTAAACATTGTAAACAAACACAACCCATTAAATCTACAAATATAAATATTCTTTGCGCCATTATCCGCTGTTTAACGTGTGGATGACATGTGGATGACATGTGGATGACATGTGGATGACATGTGGATGACATGTGGATGACATGTGGATGACATGTGGATGACATGTGGATGACATGTGGATGACATGTGGATGACATGTGGATGATGCATTTTGAGGACTTTTTTAAAATAAGGATAGTTTTAAAAAAAATATTATGGCCAGATTTAAAAAAAAAAAGAAGAAATATTATGAAAAAAAAAGATTTTAACAATATGCTGTTTTTATCTTCTTCTTCTGCTGTATCCTGAGGGCCCACGATCAATGCATTTATTATTCTGGCTCCTATTTATTATGTAGAGGGGGGTTCGTGGTGTTTCCGTGCCTGGTACTGAAGAGGATATGTCACTGGTTGCAAGGGCGACTCGGCGAGGGTATCAGGAACTGGAGAAAAAAAAAAGGGGGGGGGGGAGGGGGGTATAATGCAGGAGGTAATAGACGCAAATGTGTCCAGCAGTAGACAAGAAATGTCTGCAAATATGCGTCAATACATTATGAATACTTGGTAAAAATTGAATACCAAGATTGTGTTGAAATGAGCCCATGTACAGCATGACGTAGTCTGATGGTGAGAACAGACAGATTGACCGCCGTTATCGGGAAATTCGATCAGCGAACTGAGTCTTCGGGTGTTCTCAAAATAAAGAGTTTTAAAGTGTCAAAATAATCGTCTACATTCCTTTCAACTTATCCCTATATCCACAAAATTTTGCTGATGTCCAAATCAATGCCACGCTCGCATTGAAAGATTTGGAAATATGAACAAACTGCAGGTTTTTTTTTTAATTTTTAGTTGGCCGCAGAGCTGATCACGAGGTTATCGTTCTGACCCCAGCGTCATGCAAATTGAGAATGCATGGCCCAGTTTGTTTTGTTAATTAGAAGACAAGAGTTATCTCCCACAACGTTTCCCACTTATTTTATTGTTTCGCTGCTGTGTTTTGAAGTTCGTAATTTAAAAGGTTAGTTTGGTTTTAAAATAAGTTGTTTTATTTCAATGGCATTCATTAAACTTTTAAGCATCTCTAAACATTATCTACCTATGGGTCATAGCCTGACGGGAACTGTAAGAGTGATAATTAAATTAAAAATAACTGCTAGAAACAAAGTATGCACACATTTTATTTTCAGAAATCAAGAGAAAAAGTAAAAATCGCTTCCGGAAATGAGGACGTTGACACTGGTCGCCATTTTGATGGCACAATTCACAGGAAGTTGCTCTGTGACGTCACGCATTATCCCACCAACCAGAATAGAGGGAGATGAGGCAGCGGTTATATTTATACCAGGGGCGAATATCAAAGGGGAGGCTTACTTAGATACAGGTAATTAAGGGGTGGGTGGGGGTGGTGGTGTGTTGTGAATATCAAGGGGGAGGCTTACTTAGATACAGGTAATTAAGGGGTGGGTGGGGGTGAGGGTGTGTTGTGAATATCAATTTAACATTGATAACAAAAAAAAAAAAAAAAAACCATTTCTAATAACCCTAGTTAATTGTTCTTTTTGTGGACTGTGTAATAAAACTAATCCACTTTGCAGCTGTCGCCATACAGAAGGCCAGCCAGCTTCGCCTATGGGTGGCCCTAACCGGGAATTACTCACTGAATACGCCCAATCCTATAGAGCTGCCCACTGCTGTTGTGGACGCCATATCAGCTTTACAGAAGGCTGGTATGAAGGGAGGCAACTACACTGGTATAGCGCACAGTCTTGGGGGTGAGTCACTGGAAAATACAATTCTGACAATAAGCAGTACCGGAAACTGTAGGGTGGTGGGGGTGGGACATTCAATAATATGCCAAACCGTGGCCCACCCGCCCAAAAATATAAAAAAAGTAATTAAATGATTAAATGTACGTGTGGGTCTTTTCAGAGAAAAAAAAAGTTGGCCGGGGTTGGGTTGGGGGGTGGGGATGGTTCTTGTGCCATCGGTAAAGTTTGTGGTGTAGTCCAAAAGCATCAGTCTTAGAATTGGTCACTCACTGCCTGTTCTTAGTAAAACGGTATCCCATTAATGGGGGTCCAACGAACGATACGTGGGCCACCACTATGCCTGAAGTTTGCACATACACGTGGGCCACCACTATGCCTGAAGTCTGCACATACACGTGGGCCACCACCATGCCTGAAGTCTGCACATACACGTGGGCCACCACTATGCCTGAAGTCTGCACATACACGTGGGCCACCACTATGCCTGAAGTCTGCACATACACGTGGGCCACCACTATGCCTGAAGTCTGCACATACATCATACAATCGTATACAGGAACAATCCAATTTACCAGCCAACAAATCCTACTCCAGCCCAAAAGTTTATCTTAGTGGGAACACTGCCGTGGGATAAGCGTCTCCGTGGCAGAAAGAAGAATTTAAACAGATCAGCGTATCATCAAACGCCCCCTTTTTCAGGCGTGTTCCTGGCGCCCTCGGCCGCCACGTTACAGTTAAAGGCGGTCATCCTCCTCGGCTCTTACTTGTCCAGGAGTAAAGCTCTGAGTGCCTACCCCTTACCGCTCCTGACACTGTCCGGTGAGCTAGATGGTCAAGCTCGGATCTCAAGGATCGCTCTGGAATATGAGTAAGTCTTTGTATGCAACTGCTAAGGATATGAGTCAGTCTTGGTATGCAACTGATGAGCATATGTGTAAATCTTGGTATGCAACTGATGACAATGTGTGTAAGTCTTGGTAGGCAACTGATGACAATATGTGTAAGTCTTGGTAAACAGCTGCTAACAATATGTGTACGTCTTGGTATGCAGCTGATGAGAAAAGGGCAGTCACGGTATTCATACAAAGCTGGTACCCGGAGTCAGAAGATATTAGGACGATAACTATATTTGTACAGAGGTGGTCCCTGAAGAAATTAGGGCAATAACTATATTTGTACAGAGGTGGTCCCTGAAGATATTAGGGCAATAACTATATTTGTACAGAGGTGGTCCCTGAAGAAATTAGGACAATAACTATATTTGTACAGAGGTGGTCCCTGAAGAAATTAGGGCAATAACTATATTTGTACAGAGGTGGTCCCTGAAGAAATTAAAGCAATAACTATATTTGTACAGAGGTGGTCCCTGAAGATATTAGGGCAATAACTATATTTGTACAGAGGTGGTCCCTGAAGAAATTAGGGCAATAACTATATTTGTACAGAGGTGGTCCCTGAAGAAATTAGGGCAATAACTATATTTGTACAGAGGTGGTCCCTGAAGAAATTAGGGCAATAACTATATTTGTACAGAGGTGGTCCCTGAAGATATTAGGGCAATAACTATATTTGTACAGAGGTGGGCCCTGAAGAAATTAGGGCAATAACTATATTTGTACAGAGGTGGTCCCTGAAAAAATTAGGGCAATAACTATATTTGTACAGAGGTGGTCCCTGAAGATATTAGGGCAATAACTATATTTGTACAGAGGTGGTCCCTGAAGATATTGGGGCAATAACTATATTTGTACAGAGGTGGTCCCTGAAGAAATTAGGACAATAACTATATTTGTACAGAGGTGGTCCCTGAAGATATTAGGGCAATAACTATATTTGTACAGAGGTGGTCCCTGAAGATATTAGGGCAATAACTATATTTGTACAGAGGTGGTCCCTGAAGAAATTAGGACAATAACTATATTTATACAGGGGTGGGCCCTCAAAAATGTAGTGAACATAGACTAAATGTTAGCAAATATTGTGGACGTTAGGTGAACAAGAAAGGTTAGGGTAAAAATGTACGAATTATATAAATATTGTAAATAATGATTATGTTATGTGATATTTTTATGAATCTCTACATCGATTAAATTGTTCATGAACTTTATACAGACTACGGCTTTCAATTTATTGTTTTTTTTTTTAAATGAATTTATTGGACATACAAACTTAGATATTATTTTTTTTAAACACGTTGAATTGTGACAAATTGTCTCTCTAGACAGCTTCAAAACGAGGTCAAAAGGTCACCGGAAGCCGTGTATCGAATCCCCGTCATCAATATACCAGGAGTGAGTCATGCGCAGTTCGCGTCCGGTCCCATGCCACCAGCTGTGACCAAGTACGACTTGAAACCGGAGGTGTCCGAGGACGTGGCGCATGCGTTGATAGGGGCACACGTGAGCAACTTCCTGACCGTGACCTTCAACAGCCCCACAGCAGCAGCTGTCCGTGACGCCAAGGCGGCGCTCGACAAAAGCTTCACCGATTCGGGCACAAGGTTTCAGGTAAGGAGTTAACCCATGATCTACTTAATCAGGGGCGGAGACCTACTTAATCAGGGGCGGAGACCTACTTAATCAGGGGCGGAGACCTAATTAATCAGGGGCAGAGACATACTTATTCAGGGGCGGAGTAAGGAAGTTGTGGTCCTTCGAGATGACCAAACTCAGGGGCATTAAGCCAGCTAGGGGTGGACACGTCCATAAATAACGGTGGTTTATAACGGCTTGTCAGAGCACGTCTTGTCTCCCTTGGCCTGGACACATGAACCTCTTGGCCTGGACACATGAACCACTTGGCATGGACACACGGACCACTTGGCCTGGACACACGGACGACTTTGCCTGGACACATGGACTACTTGGCCTGGACACACGAACCACTTGGTCTGGACACATGAAACACTTGGCCTGGACGCATGACCCACTTGGCCTGGACACACGAGCCATTTAATATTCCGAAAATAACATACTTTGAAGCAAGCGGTACCCTTGACCATGTGGATCAACGAACAATTGCAATTATTTGTCACACTAATTATCCCGTTATGTTATTATCGTTATGCAAGGATAAATTAAGAGAACACGCCGGAGTTTATTTCTCACTGTGATTTAAAAAAAAAAAGAAAGAGGCCCAGTAAAGACAACTGCTATATATCATAACACATCGGTCCTATACATATTCAGCTACGCATATTAGCCATCTGACAATTGTACCTTATTTATTACAAACATAATTCCCAGCCACTACTCAACATAAAAGGACTGGACTCGGACGGCCAGTCGTCCCCCTGGGCTGTTTCATCGCAGGAGTTCATTGCTGGGGATTTGGTGGAGAGAACCAAGGTAAGGGACGTAATTCTGAATTTTAGTTTTTCGATGTAGTCAGGAGCAGTAGCAGTTCTTATGTATGATTAGAAGAGCAGCCTAGAGTAATTTTTGAATATTTTTTAAAATTAATTAAAACCCTATGTATGTGAATATTAGTTTTTTTTTCAAAAGGTCAGAGAATATCTCACATGAATTATGAATGTATTGTATGCTCATACATTCATCACAGACAGAAAACAAAATTGATTCAGAAGCGGTGTTCCTATCCTCCAAACCATCCCTGGTGAGATCTGGGAATGACGTCACAATCAAGACAACGACATTCCTGAAGTACGAGACAAACACTCTAGACATCTCCACCATACCGGAGAGTCCCAAGGAGGTAGACATCAAATTCAAATCTTACGAGGCCATCCAGGAGGCCCTGGGGCTGGGCCCTCAGAAGGCACTGAAGCTCGGACCCAAGGAGGCCCTGAAGCGTGGCCCCCATGAATCTGTCGGACACAACGCGACGTCTTGTAGATTGCTGAACGAGGTCAGAAAAACATAGACGTTAATTTTGTTCAGTTGAATGTTGAATTAAGACGTTGATACTAACAGGCTAATGGGTAAAGTCAAAAACATTGGCTAAGTTTCAACATAGTTACTGAGTAAGTCAGCCTATAATGACTAAATATTAGGGGAGACTTTGCCACTGACTAAATAGGATTAGTTTTGTTTACTGACTAAATAGGTGAGATAATTTTACTGACTAAACAGGTTTAGATTAGAAAATTTACTGACTAAATAGGTGATATTGTTTACTGACTAAATAGGTGAGATTGTTAACTGACAAAATAGGTAAGGTTGTTAACTGACTAAATAGGTGAGATTGTTAACTGAATAAATAAGTGAGATTGTTAACTGACTAAATAGGTGATATTTTTAACTGACTAAATAGGTGAGATTGTTACCTGAATAAATAAGTGAGATTGTTAACTGACTAAATAGGTGAGATTGTTAACTGAATAAATATGTGTGATTTGTTAACTGAATAAATAGGTGAGATTGTAAACTGAATAAATCAGTGAGATTGTTAACTGACTAAATCAGTGAGATTGTTAACTGACTAAATAGGTGAGATTGTTAACTGAATAAATAAGTGAGATTGTTAACTGACTAAATAGGTGAGATTATGTAGCTGACTAATAAGGTGAGATTGTTAACTGACTAAATAGGTGAGATTGTTAACTGAATAAATAAGTGAGATTGTTAACTGACTAAATAGGTGAGATTATGTAGCTGACTAAATCAGTGAGATTAAGTAGCTGACTAAATCAGTGAGATTATGTAGCTGACGAAATCAGTGAGATTAAGTAGCTGACTAAATCAGTGAGATTATGTAGCTGACGAAATCAGTTAGATTAAGCGGCTGACTTAATCAGTGAGATTATGTAACTGACTAAATCAGTGAGATTATGTAGCTGACCAAATCAGTGAGATTAAGTAGCTGACTAAATATTATGGGAAGATCTTCATTCATGAACATGGCTCCTGGACAAGGGGAACATTTCATAGCCCAGGGGTGGCCAAAACAAAAGACCTCGCAGGCCACTTTGATAGCAAGCCACTTTGATAGCAGGCCACTTTGATAGCAGGCCACTTTGATAGCGCATGACTTTTAATGTTACACAAAATATTAAAATAAAAATAGAAATGTTAAACTATTCCTAATGCACATAACGAAATGCTAAATAACAGAAAGGAGCCAAACTCATTTGACGTCATTCATCTTTTTTCTCACATCTCCTTAAAACTGATTTCTTTGTCGATTTGACAAATAAGCTTATTTGAGATTATTCAGGCTGCAATATATGATATTGGCCAGCCCTTTTCTAGCCAGTTTTCTAGCCAGTCCCTGGCATTTTTTCTCATTTTTTCTGTCTTATGTGATAGGTTTTTTGAAAACATGAATCGAATGAGTACACAACTTTAATGTAGCTTTAATTAAATATTTTTTAATACCTTTCACAAGAACACTTAAAGTAATACAAAAAAAAGCTACATTAAATATGGTTAATAATAAATTTATGAATGACCTAACATCATAGTCACTTATAGATACCATATATCCATTGGTATGCCTGTCCTGTGCCCTAGTTTAAACTCAAAGGCAGGACTCGTGGTCTCTGACCAAGTTACCTGTTTTGTTTAATACACCCGGTTATATGTAGTAATATTCCCTGAGCATGATAAAACAATAGTGTTAGAAAATAGAATGACTAAAACAATTAATTATTCTTGGCAATGTAAATTCCAGAGAAAAATCTACATGTGTCTTGAACAACAGTTTTCAACATCAAACTCTAACATCTTTCAAGTAGCAGAAATCTAATCATGCCACATCTAATCTCCCCACATATAATCTCTATATATCTAATCTCCCCACATCTCATCTCCCCACTTCTCATCTCTCTACATCTCATCTCCCCACATCTTATCTCTCCACATCTAAGCTCCTCACATCTAATCTCCCCCCAACATGTCCTCAGTTGGCCTTTGGTGCAGCTTTCAGCAATAGCACCTCACAAGCTCAGGAGAGATACAAAGCCCACGGCCGACCCATCCTGTTTGAGGATGATGTGGTTTACAGCAACGGCTTCACGTGGACCAACACACCTCTCAAGATGACAGAGGACGATGCGGGTCTCCACGTGCAGTCCATCGCCCTGAACATCCCTGTCCACAGCATCATCTACCCTGGCAACTTCTACTGTAAACTCTTGTCTCCGTACAGAGCCATGGAGTGGATCAACGTCGACTCACTCAGGGCTCACAAACCTTCCAGGTCGTTCTGGTCGTTGCTGGGCTTACTGAACTCCTAGGAACTAAACACACCGGGTGAAATGGACAGTTTACATCAAGACATAGACAGTTCACATCAAGACATAGACAGTTCACATCAAGACATAGACAGTTCACATCAAGACATAGACAGTTCACATCAAGACATAGACAGTTCACATCAAGACATAGACAGTTCACATCAAGACATAGACAGTTCACATCAAGACATAGACAGTTCACATCAAGACATAGACAGTTCACATCAAGACATAGACAGTTCACATCAAGACATAGACAGTTCACATCAAGACATAGACAGTTCACATCAAGACATAGACAGTTCACATCAAGACATAGACAGTTCACATCAAGACATAGACAGTTCACATCAAGACATAGACAGTTCACATNAAAAAAAAGTATGCAGTGGCGTACCTTCGGGGTGGAGGGGGGGGAGAATGATCAGCACTAATTGGGATTCTTATAAAGGGAGTTACTTGAATGACTGCATGTTTTGTCAAGAGTTGATCAATAAAACTTTCAATTAAGACTTGATCAATGACACTTTTAATTAAGACTTGATCAATGACACTTTTGATTAAGACTTGATCAATGACACTTTTGATTAAGACTTTATCCATGACACTTTTGATTAAGACTTGATCAATGAAACTTTTAATTAAGACTTGATCAATGAAACTTTTAATTAAGAGTTGATCAATGACACTTTTAATTAAGACTTGATCAATGACACTTTTGATTAAGACATGATCAATGACACTTTTGATTAAGACTTGAACCATGACACTTTTGATTAAGACTTGATCAATGACACTTTTAATTAAGAGTTGATCAAGGATACTTTTAATTAAGAGTTGATCAGTGACACTTTTAATTAAGAGTTGATCAATGACACTTTTACTTAAGAGTTAATGGTTGAAAAAACACCAACACACACACAAAAATGTCAAGTCTGTTGTTTTAACATAAAACTATCATCTTTCAGGTTATACAATTTATAATGTTTGAAAAAATCTCAAAGTTTGCACAATTTTAATTTTCCTTGACACCAATATGAGAATGTTCAAACATTGACTTCAAGCCATACAAGCGTAAAAAAAAAAAATGCTGAATAAAATAATTGAACAAATAATGATAAAATCATTACATAAAACAACTAACAGACCAGCCATATAAAATAACGTACAAACCAGCCAAATATAACACGCATGTGGAATGTAGCACGGATAAAATCAAAAGATTATAAAATAAAAAAAAGAAGCTAATGTACGTTCTACATGGCCATCCTGGCACTATGGATGGAAGGAAGGATACACAGTAACTGATAGTGCCGTCAAATGGGGTAGTAGAGTTATCAACAAGTTCCCATAAAAAGGCCCATAAGGGTGATGCAGTCAGCAATACATGGTGAGTTCTGACATTCAGAACTACCTGTGTTTGGTCTGAATGAGTTTTGACATTCAGAACCACCTGTGTTTGGACTGAATGAGTTCTGACATTAAGAACCACCTGTGTTTGGACTGAATGAGTTCTGACATTCAGAACCACCTGTGTTTGGACTGAATGAGCTCTGACATTCGGAACCAACTGTGTCTGGATTAGTGCAGCACCAATAATCTCATCTATTGATTAATTAATACTGATTACTTGACCTTACGAAATTGTTATAGATCTAAATCAGGTTAATCCTCCACACATGATTAATTGTGTATTAATGTAGTCCTTTGAAAATGTTTCTTCTAAATAGTTATAGGTGATGTTAATATTTCATAACTAATGATAGCTATATAGAGAGCTAGTATTTGGGTTACTTGTAATATGAGAGATCAGTTTTATCATATTAAATGTTCTAACCATTACACCAGTTATGTGACAGTTGTCCTTGATAACCAATGGAAAACAAACATAATTAAACATACTAAGGTACGTATATGCTTACTTTAAATTCCCTATAACTTCAAAACAGAAAATGTGAATATCTGGGCATATCTTCCTTTAAAGGGCACTTCCTTTTATACAGGATTTTTAAATATTGACTTTGTAGTATTTGTAGCCTGTGTAGGAAGTTCATTTGAAAAGGTCCTTGAAATTTGACTATTACGTTGTAACTCCCGGTAGGACGAGGGGATCGTTCCTGTGTGCACCTCGTGACTCCAACACGGAAGAATCCCAGCTTGTGAAAAGCTTCACGTAATGAGGAGCACAATGCATGTTGTTTAGTTCAGATTGCTGTGTCCTAGTCAGAGTTATGACACAATACTCGGTGAATATTTTTAGTGAATCTCTATTTATACGACATGTGACATGACTACCAACAAATGGGTGGGGCATGTTGGTGGGGCATGTTCATAGCTTCATCAGTAATCCTTGTCTGGAGTTCATCATTTGCTCACAGATGTTGTGATGTCAGATTCCCCCACCCTACAGATGTGTGATGTCAGATTCCCCTACTGTACAGATGTGTGATGTCTAGATCTGAATGTTTTTATCCTTGATAAACAGATTTAATGTTTTCTGGGTCACTGATCTGTTAAAAAAGAAGCAACAACATTTACATAATTAGGCTAAAAATAGATTTAACTGGGAACATGCACAGAGGCAGTAGTACTCATGTTTGACACATAGTTTAATTTAACCCTATTGTTTAGTAATAGCGGGTCAAGCTTAATGAAGATACAGTGTTGAGCTTAATAACAAAAACAGTCAGTCCAAGATGACTACCTCATTGCAAACGTTGGAGTTTTTCCAGCAAACATCACAAATATTTGATGATTTCCAGACATATGGGCATAGCATTTATGACCTGAACATACAATATACGTATCAGTGGCCTGGTGGCTAAATTCTGCTGGCCCTGGAATACAATTAAGCACAGTTAATTAGTTAATATAAAATCTTTAAAGAATAATATCTTTACGCTTGGATGAAGATCTTGATAAGAAAGTTAACAGAAAGTAAAATGTTAACATTTTATGATGGCCAAATTATCTTTCCAGCGGTCACGAAATACTTTATTAAAATTGAAAATTTAAATTTTATTTCACGGCCCACCAAACACTTTTCAATAAGATTCTTTGAAATTATATCAAAATATCCCAGAGAATTTATAAAGTGTTGGCCACTTCATGAAAGATAAACTCATCGCAAACCTCTTCGTGAGCCGACCCGCTGCAATATTCCACTACTTTCTCACACCCCGAGAATGTTTTGTTTGTCTTTTGCTATTGATCGTTGCTATATTTTAGTGGTTTTTATTGTCTGTGATGTCACTTTTAATTTCAAATTTGCTAACTTATGATTGGATCTTTATTAAAAATTTTTTTTTTCAATCATAAAAATGTCAGTTCTTCATAATCATTCTTTTATTTCTCTTTATACAACAAATATATCATTTAAATAAAATGGACTTGTTTTTGGGATCTTATCCACATCAGCCTGGTGCCCTAATAAGTCAGCCGGGTGCCCTTATAAATCAGCCTAGTGCCCTAATAAGCTTACCTTCTTATCCACATCAGCCTGGTGCCCTAATAAGGTTACCTTTTTATCCACATCAGCCTGGTGCCCTAATAAGCTTACCTTCTTATCCACATAAGCCTGGTGCCCTAATAAGCTTACCTTCTTATCCACATCAGCCTGGTGCCCTAATAAGCTTACCTGTTTACTTTTCACATGGACATTTTCAGCAATCTATTTTAGAAATTCTATATTATTATTCCACCACTGTCTCTCACCACTGTCTCTCACCACTGTCTCTCACCACTGTCTCTCACCACTGTCTCTCCCCACTGTCTCTCCCCACTGAAATAAACATCTTCTATTATTTAATTTCTCCTGCTAATGTTTTAATCTATTGTTTTGTTCCACAATACCATCGTACAGTATTACTACCCCAGTCTGGATGGCTACCAACCTTTCTCCGTCCCCTTGATGCTGCTAGCGAAGTAAGTACCAACGACATATTTGTAGAATGACCTCAGCACTGCCCTTCTCTTCTCATGTTTGGCGGGCTCGTCACGTTCTCTCATTAGATTGACAGAACTCAAACATCTGTTGGATTGTACGTTGACCAGCAGGAAGCTGAAGGGAGGCGATTCTTGATTAGATCACATCTTGATCATTGGAACTCTTACAATTCAATATTTACCTTAGACATTCAGGAGATTATGTTCAAACTGTAATTTATAGTTCGTGGACGCAGGTTTACATCTGTACTTATTTAAAACATTAAATCCTCTTTAAGGCTGGATCACCCATTAATCAAGTGTTTCCCAAGGTGGGCCCCACAAACCACAGGGGACAATTTGATTGTTAAGGGGGGAAATTTGTAAAATATTTTGAGAAATGAGATTTTGCTGAAGAAATGATGTGCTGTAAATCATTTGAAAGCTCCACTTCTGCCAAAGATAGAGATCTAATAAGCTAAATAATTACTTAGATGTCAATAATATACCAATGGTCAACTGTTCCAGTATTAAACAGAAACTCGTCCCTCTCCCCCATAGACAGCAACCAGGCCATGACAGGCAATTCAGGCTCATACCAGCGAGAAGCCAGTATAGGAGCTGCTCATTCCTGCCAAAGACAATCAGGGACTGGAACAATCTTTCAAAAGGAAGGGTTGAGGCTACAACACTAGACACATTTGTGTCTATTGCCTCAAGCCTTCAAACCCCTAGTGCATGATTCCCTCACAGAGTGGCACTGGAAATCTGTGAAATTTCCTCATCAACACCAGGAACAGAAACATTGTAAATCCCATCTACATGCATAGGAGCCAAAATGATCAATAAATTGATCGTGGGCCCTTAAGATATAGAAGAAGAAGAATGTACCAATGAAAAAAATATCTTGTGCTGCAGATAGTGCTCATAATATGATGGGCAGAAAAATCGCTGCTTTAATTTGATGAAGGCTGAGAATCTAGAAATGCTTCTTGTGCAATTTGTTTTTCATGAGTAAAGCTTGGCAGCTAAAACTATTTTGCCTGTTCTTAATGGAGTATTAGATTCAGTTCTAAAGTGTATCAGTCCTGTCAGAGCTAATGCCATATGTGAATGCCTCCTCAAGCTATTTTGTGAAGACCAAAATGCAGACCAAGTGAGACTTTGACTTCACACTGAAGTAAGATGGCTCTCAAAAGGGAACTGCTTGAAAAGATTAATGGAACTATTTGATACTCTTGGTGAATTTTTAAGTGAGAAACCTGAAATGAAGTACATGTTGACAGTCGATGGTAAAGCATGTGTGAGTTATTTAGTCGATAGCTTTGAAAAACAAATATATCAAATAACCAACTTCAAGGAGCAAATAAAACTCTTGTCGACGCAAAAGCAAAAGATATTTGGTTTTATTAAATTTATTGAATTATGTCAGAAATATGTGTGTAACAAAAATTTTGAAAAGTTTCATTGGCTCCAAAAAATGTGAAGTGACTGATACCACTATACTTGTTCTTGTTGATCATCTAAAACTTTTGTCAGCTGATTTAGAAGAAAGATTTTGCGATTAAAAACAAATTAATTTTCCAACTTGGATGATGCAGCCAAGGTTAGTGGACTTGTCTGATATTTCATATATATGCAAAATCAAGAAGAACTCGAAGAAATGCTAAATGATGGGTCTTTTTAAAAATCTATTTCATATAAAAGGAGCGATGGCATGGCTTCATGAAGAAACAGAAATCTAATATTCAAATTCGACCAAATGTTCAAGACATTTATTGTTACCGTTTCCATTTTCATATTTAGCTGAATGTGGATTTAGTTCCATAAGTAATTGGCAGCTAAAGAGATAAATCGACTGGATATCACATAGAGGAAAGTCTTGAGACTGAAGCTATCTAAATTGAAGCCTAACATAAAATGTCTGTGCACCAAGCATCAAGCCCAAGTTTCTCAATAAATTATTCATCTCACTATATATTTGTGACCTCTCAGTTTATTTGAAAATAATTAAATAATGAATAATAAATTAAATCATATTTTAGAAAAATCATCTATTTTGTAATTGAATTTCAGTTCTCCATGACATGCTTTGAAGATTTCCTGACTGTGTTTCCTTAAACATTTCTTTAGAAAACCTATTCCTTCCTAGAGACATTTTCTTTCTTCATAAAACCTTTCCTTTAGATTTCATTCAGTTTATGATACATGGTGCCTATTCATAGAGGGGCGGGGGGCATGAGAGTTTTAGAAAGGTTTAGGTCGGGCGTGGCACAAAAAAGGTTGGGAAACACTGGACTAACAAGTCAATTTACGACCTCAAATACTTAAAAAGAAAATATCATCTTCCATCTGTTATCTTGATTGCCTTACGTCTAGTTAGGATTGCTGTAGGTTCATATGTGAAAACTTATTCCTAATATAAAATAAATTGTTCAAATAGAGGTTAAATATTGGTGGTTAGAATTGTTGGTATTAGTGGTGTAATATGTCCAAAGCTTTGCCAGTCTCTTTACCCAAGAATGTTGCTGTCGACATCCATTGAGGTTGGAAAGTTGCGAGGGGAAGTCTGACTTGCTGACCT